CCCAGCTTGAAGAGTGCGTTAAGATCATCAACACATTAGTGGGGATTGATGATACCCATTATGCTAAGGTCATAAGGATGTTTGGTGAGGACAAGGTGTGGAGGGACATATTTCTTCGCATTCCTGATGACAGGAAGGTTGGGTGGGTGATGAATCAGCCTCTGTGATTTATTCGGTATCTTACTTTTATGTACTTTTGGATGACTGTTTTATAACTACTTTTACATTACTGTTGGATGACTATAATGAATTTTTCTTATCTATTGTTTTTACATTATTGTTGGAAGACTGCATTTAATTCCTCTATCTACTGCTTTTAAATTAATACTGGATAACTATTTATGTTCTATATCTATTGCTTTTACATTATTGCTGGATAATTGTATGATTTGGTATGTCTTTTCCATGTTGCTTAATTTTTATTACAATAACTGCTTCTGTTTATTCTTAAATAGGATAGTAGCTATGGATATAAGGACAATATTAACCATTTATGATGATGAGGAGGAAATTCTTGTATTTATCGCAACCGTATATGAGTACTATCATAAACATTTTGATAAGCAACGTTGTAGGGATTCCATGTTACAAAGGGAAGATTACATATTCGAGCTCTTAAATGGACATGAAGATAGGTGTTATGAAAATTTTCGGATGTACCCCAACACCTTTAGGGTATTGTGTCGTGAGTTGAAATTGTTAGGATTGAAGGATTCAACATTTCTAACGGTAGAAGAACAAGTTGCAATTTTCCTACTTATCGTGACTCACAATGAAAGGAATCGTGTCGTTGCTGAAAGATTCCAACACTCTACATCCACAATTTCATATCACTTCATACTGTCTTAAAGTTAATTTGTGAGTTAGGGACTAAGATTATTGTTCCCCCAGATTTGAATGAAATTCCTAAAGAGATAAAGAACAATCCAAAGTTTTACCCATACTTTAAGAATTGTGTAGGAGCCATAGATGGTACTCATATCCATGTTGTAGTACCAGTTGACCAACAAATACCCTTTCGTGGTAGAAAGGATGATACGACCCAAAATGTCATGGTCATGTGTTCATTTGATATGAAATTCACATACATTCTAGCAGGGTGGGAAGGGTCTGCTAATGATTCGAAGATTTTAAATGAGTGCATTCAGAATGAGGATTTCAATTTTCCATCACCACCCGAAGGTAAAAATATTACCTTTCCATATTTATGCATTTAACATTACAAATACGTTAATTTTAATACTTAACGTACTTAACATGACAGATAAGTTTTACTCAGTGGACTCTGGGTACGCCAATCAACTGGGGTTTTTGGCCCCTTACCGGGGTCAACGTTACCACATGCAGGAATATCGTAGACATACTAGAGGACCACGTGGTAGAGAAGAGGTGTACAATTTTAAGCACTCATCATTGAGGAATATCATAGAGCGATGTTTTGGGTTGGTAAAGATGAGATTCGCTATATTGAAGCAATTGCCCCCTTATCACTTTGACACTCAAGTTCTTATTGTCATTGCCTGTTGTACATTGCATAATTTCATAAGATCCCAAGGTGAATCTGATAAAAATTTTGATTCTGAAACCCCTCAATTTTCACCAAATGAACCTGATGTGGATGACGATGTTCAAGTGGTCAGTGCTACTAATACACAGATACGGCAGATGGATATTTATCGTGATGGTATTACCAACCTAATTTGGGAGCACTGTAATCACTAATTATAAAACTGTCTAATAGTGTGTAGAATTTTAATATGGATAACTGTAATAACTAATTATATTACGTAAATTAAACTCAGATGCTCCTTATTTATGGATAACTGTAATAACTAATTATATTAGGACATCAAATATTAAATGCTTTAGTACTTGTAGGGGCACTTATGTACATGCTTGAAGGTGAGCGACCACAATGTGCATGTGGTAGAGGTCCTATGTATCTGTATAGGGCTCGAACTCCAAAAAATGATGGTCGATAATTCTATAAGTGTCCAGCTCGGGAGGTATGGTTTTAAACTTTTAGGTGCTATTTCTGTTACTGTTTCTTAATTGTATAATTTATATTTCTTGTAGTCACATGTGAATGCATTTATGTGGGTGGATGAGTTGCACCAAGGTGCACAAGTTAAAGAACAGGTTCAATCTAACTTGGACAGAGTCATTGCAATGATTCAAAATGAACAATGTAGATAGAAGTACATGCTCTTCCTAGGTTGTAGATGTCTTGCTATCACAATCATGTTTATTGTGATTGTCCTCTTGTTGCTCATTATCGTTGTTATTGAAAGATGAAGTTCAATAAACTTCCATCTTTTGTAATATATGACATGTAATATGTATTTAGTTAATTTTCTGTGTTTCATTTGGTATATAATATATACTTAAATGGTATATTTTGAACTGCGTATTAGTTGCTGTTGCGTTCTCTTCTCTGTCATTTTGGGAGTGAGCTTTAGGGCATTTGTAAAATTTACTACTGAGGTCATTTACACTCTAAATTTGCAACTTAGTTTGAAAAAAGGTTAGATATATCTTGTTTACTGCTTCTAATTATTTCACTCCTACCGTGTGTTACGTGTTATTTTGTTTTTATGTAATGTTGTTCATGTGTTTTGTTTTGCATGAAGTCATTTACACTTTAAATTTACAACTAAGCCTGAAAAAAGGTTAGATATATCTTGTTTATTACTTCTAATTATTCTATTCCTACCGTGTGTTACGTGTTATTTTGTTTTTATCTAATGTTGTTCATGTGTTTTGTTTTACATGAGGTCATTTACACTTTAAATTTACAACTAAGCCTGAAAAAAGGTTAGATATATCTTGTTTACTACTTCTAATTATTTCATTCCTACCGTGTGTTATGTGTTATTTTGTTTTTATCTAATATTGTTTATGTGTTTTGTTTTGCATGAGGTCATTTACACTTTAAATTTACAACTAAGTCTGAAAAAAGGTTAGATATATCTTATTTACTACTTCTAATTATTTCATTCCTACCGTGTGTTATTTTGTTTTTATCTAATGTTGTTCATGTATTTTGTTTTGCATGAGGTCATTTACACTCCAAATTTGCAGCTTAGCCTGAAAAAAGGTTAGATATAACTTGTTTACTACTTCTAATTATTTCATTCCTACCGTGTGTTATTTTATTTTTCTCTAATGTTGTTCATGTATTTTGTTTTGCATGAGGTCATTTACACTCCAAATTTGCAGCTTAGCCTGAAAGAAGATTAGATATATCTTGCTTGAATTAAATTTGTGGACGGTGTCCTTGTTAATTGAATTTTGTGGGCGGTGTCCCTTATTGAAATAATTTTGTGGGCGGTGTTCCTTGTTAAATGAATTTTGTGGGCGGTGTTCCTTGTTAAATGAATTTTGTGGGCGGTGTCCCTTATTGAATTAATTTTGTAGGTGGTGTCCCTTGTGTTTATTGTGTTTTGAAATTTTGAAAATGTCCATTTTTAAGGGGAAATCATGCCGGATTTTTTTTAAATAAAATAAATTAAATTAAATTTAACTCTGCTTTATATTTTGGTATTATAGGTAATGTCTTGTTTTACATTCAAATTCATTTTTTGCTACTACATTGAAGGACATGATAGTAAGTTGTAGGCAGTGGCACCAGTGGGATTGATACGAAGCATTCTCCAGTTGCTGCAATTCCAGAAAGCTAATGATCTCTAAGTTAATCAAATGGAGGCCTGTGCAAGTATAAAAAAGTGGGTGTACATTTTATGGAATGAATATTAGTGATCTCCAGTTGTGTGTACATTTTATGTAAGTGTAATGAAGTGTGTGTGTACACATATATTATTTTTAAGGAATGTTTAGCTCCTTATATGTGGAAGTATATATGTGAATGGTGCAACACTCAAGTTCTTAAGATTATGATGTACAAAGCAAAACTATACGTGGAAGTATATATGTGAATGTTGTTCAGTCTTGTAAGAGGGATCTTCCTTGATTGCTTACTTTTAATCTTTATTCATATTTATCAATTCTGCTTATGGTTGGATATTGTATGAAATATTCACAAGTCCGTTATCAAAATAAATACTCAAGAAAAGGGGAAATGGTCTCATAACTAAACAAAAAAAAATTACCAATTTGAAGGACCTCCACTACAAAATTTCAAACTAATCTAAGTGAAGTAAAACTATTCACAAGCTTCAATGTCCACCAAATCTCAACTCTGACCAATTTAAGAAGATCAACGTTTTGACTTTGTTTCTTGTTAGTTTCAACTACAAGGATCTCTCTCTCTCACATTTATCATGAATTTATATATATATATATATATGAAACAAAACAAAGTTAAATGGAATGCAAGCCAAAAGAAAAAGATAAATGGAGTGCAAAGATCTGTTCTCATTGAAAGGTTATTACAAAGTTAGATTTGTAATTTGGTTGCTATTAATCATGTTTATGAAGATTTATTCATTATTACAAAGTTTAAGATTTGTAGTTTGGTTGCCATTATACATATAAATTTATTCATAATTTTTTTTTCCAAACTCTAATGCAGAATATATATATATATATATTTTAATTTTAACAAATTATCTCAAATCATAAAGAAAAATAAACTATTTACATATAAACTTATAATTGTATTCACATATATAACTTTTCAAAACAAAAACAAAACATTCTTTACCAAACATGTATTCTGTTATTGATTCAGAATTTTTGATAACAAAATACCTAATCCCAAACGTGTTTTGTTTTTGGATTCTTTAAAATGCATGACAATACCAAACGTGTTAATATGTTTCTGATATATAATTATCAAAAACAAAACAATCGTTACCAAACATGGATCCGATTTCTACTAAAAATATACCAATACCAAAACTGTTGTTTTCATATCATACCAAACCATAACGTATTAAAGTATTTACCTAACCTTGTATATATATATAAAACAAAAAAAAAAAAACCCTAATCCAATAAAAATTTCAGATAATAAATACAAAATACAGGGGTTTATTGAAAATCTCAAAACAAGAAGATATATTTTAGGTCCAGAATCGAACAGAAAAATGTTTGGTCTTCCTCAGAAGCACAACTAAGGAGAAAAAAACCCTAGATCTTCTGCAACGAGCCCTCCGGCGACAACTTGATTAACCTCCGGCGACGGTAAGATCTTTATCGGCGACGACCTACTGCCACAAAAGTCACGGTCATTCTCTTCACTAGTATGAAAATTGATAATTATGAAGTCTCATATCTTATCATATACTTGCATATCTTTGTGTATATATAGTGGTTAATTAACATGCTATTGGTGATCGAGCTCTTGCATTTTATCTACCTAGATATTTACTTCATCTTCGTGTAGTTTGATCCCAAATCAGGTAAAACCTGTCTGCAATGCATGTTAAATTATTTGAAAAGATGGTTTCTATGGACAGAACGTTGCAAGTAATGGTTTCTTCTACTTTAACATTGGGGTGAATATTCTAGTTTGTTGGATTTTTCGTGATCATTAACCAGAATGACCAATTTGTCTATTGAAAATTAAAAGGGAAAAAGGGAATCAGCTATAATCTATTGATTTCGGTGTGAAAGTTATTCATTGATGGAAATGGTGAACTTATTTTTCTGAGCTTGAATTATTGCTTCTAGTTAATGAATCATTTCTATATGTATTTAGATATAAAATTATAATTAGGAAAGGTGATTCTCACAAATTTTATATCTTAGACACTTTAAGGGTTCATGTCTTTAGTTTGCCCATGATTCTTGGTTTCATTTTTTGCTCCTACAGAAGTAATTGTGACATTGGGAAGAGAACCACAAACTTACCATATGTCTAAAAGTCATAATTTTGTATTTGTTGAGAAGATATTGGGTGAGTCGGGCATACCGCGTAATTGGTATGCACACCCAATAAAAATGTACCATGTCAATTTATTGAGAACAATTTTTATAAGTAGGTGGACCAATTCCATTGTATGGTTCATTTTCATTGGGTGGTGATTACCAATAACGTGGTATGTGCGGCTCACCCAATATCTATTCGTATTTGTCCCACTGCTTGTTATCTAGGGGCAATTACACGACATACATAATTACAAACCTTAAAATGTGACCTGGCTCCTTCACCCTTTTAAATGAGATTGCCGATTCCACTTTCTCCATGCGCACCACAAAATGCACTACAGATCCATATTCCCAGTCTTCCACATGTGCTTATGATTGACTGTGCCTATTCTCTAGCTAGCAATTTGATTAAACGGTGTTCCTAGGGATGCCCAATTCATTCCAAAAAAGGCAAGTAAAATAGCCCACATATACTCCACCATCTTGCATTAAATTTACTTGGGACATCATCTATGCCTCCACTCTACATAGACAACACGAGCTGGGGAAGAGGTGGCTTATCGGAACCAGATTGTCTTTGTTCAACAGGGACAAGTGCAGAAAAAACCCTAAAAGTATACACCCCCTGGCACTTTTACCCCCTATTAGAAAAAGTGTGCAAAAAACACATCTAATCTTTTCACATTGTGCAAAAATACTCCTCTTGACATAAATTAGTGTTGTAATACCCCGTTTTGCCCTTTTACTCTTCCGAAAATGCCCAATGGGGTATATACGCTACTAATCTCATAGTATAGGGGTGTTATGTGCACATTAGCTTTTTTTTTTTTTTGAAATTTGAGAATTTGTAGAATAAGGATTTGAATTTGTTGAGATTTTAGTTTACTATTTTCTACTAATTTTTTTTCTTTCTTTATTTTAATTTTTTTCAAGCCAAAAAAAAGAAAAAGAAAAAAATCCCAATATCAGCGTGCACTGGTTTTTGGAGTTTGGAGCAGATTTGTTTTCTTTAGTTTACACTTTATTTTTGTTTTTTATTTACTATTTTTATCTTTTCTTTACTTTTATACTTTTATATTTTTATTTTTATCTTTACTTGTCCATTGCCGGCGTCCTCTAATAGTGTCATTTTCAGTAATTTTACAAAATTATTTATTTTTATATATTTTATAAAATGGTTCAATAAGGACAATTCAAAGGGGCCTATTTGCACCAAATTAAAACTTTAGGGGTGTTTTTTGCATGTGAGGGGCGTCCTCCATTAGTGTCATTTTACAAAATTATTTATTTTTATATATTTTATAAAATGGTCCAGTAAGGGTAATTTAGTCAACTTAGGACTTAAATTTGTCAGAGGGACCTATTTGCACCAATTGAAATTGTAGGGTCGTTTTTACACGTGAGGGCTGTGATATGCACTGTAAGCATACTTTAGGGGTGTTTTCTGCACTTGACCCTTGTTCAGAAACATTATACTAGTTATCATTAAAAAAAAAAAAAAATGCGGTCTTGGAAGAAGCCTTAGAACCTTAAACTTCCTTTGCAGAGACCGGGCCTTATGCTCTATTTGGTTGGAAGGAAGGATTGAGAAAGGATGGAAGAGTGGAGGGATAGAAGAAGATTCCCTTATTTGGTTGGAAGGAAGGGAAGACAGAGAGGAAGCAAGGAGGGATAGCTCGTGTTCTTTTATCTGTCCAAATTCGGGCCAGAAGCGAAGGGAGAAAGAAAAACTACCCTCCATATATGTAATACCAATCTGATCCTTCAATTATTTACAATATCACTCATAGTTGTTAAAGGCACACCTAGGCTCCAAAAGCCCTTTGCTCGTCAAGGTTCAGTTGGAATGCCTCCGCGTACTAGGCTACTATAGGCCAGATGTAAGGGGCTGGGTGCTTCGCGATCCAACCCAAAAGTTTAAGCTACTAGGTGAGGCTAACACCCAACCCATATATATCCATTTCACTTCCCATCCAAATTCGATGTGGGACAAGTCTTCCCTTGTAACATTCTCCTCCATCCGAACTCGCAACGCCCTCGTTGCGGTCGAGTCAGGGGCTTACCCGGGGTGTCCACCCAGAAGCTTCCGGGCGGGTGCTTGGTGTGGCATCGGATCAAGGTCTGACTCTGATACCAACTGCAACTGGTTGGGTGCTTCGCGATCCGACCTAAAAGCTTAAGCTATTAGGTGGGGCTAACACCCAACCCATATATACCCTTGTAACACCCAACCCATTTCCCTTCTCATCTGAATTCGATGTGGGACAAGTCTCCCCTTGTAACACTAGGCCCCTTCATTCAGTCTTGCATAAAGCCCTCAAGCTCATGCATTTTAGTATGTTCCAGGTTTAAAAAAAAGTACATTTTGTTTTTTAACCAAATATTTCAATCATTTTCTTGTTTATTTATTGATTATTAAATTAAATTGTACAATCTCTTATCATGATCATATTTAATGGAGCATATTGTTTAACTTTATAAATTTCATAACTGTATGGTTCACTACTTACATTAATTCTACTTCCATTAATTACATTTAGTGCTGGAGTTTGAATATTTATGATAAATATGTTTAAGGTTTGCATGATTTAAGTTTTTAATTGTTTTAGATTTGTAATCGCATTTAATTTGGTTAATGCATATGCATATAAAAGGATTTATGAGCCTTAATTTACTCAATCCTCTTAGTTGGTATATAAATATCCCATTACTATTTGTGTCGTATATCTTGAATTGTTCTGATTGTACATTGATTTTATTGGACACATTTGCATATAGAATAAGTATTTTGATATAGCTAATCCATTAAATTGATATGTTGAAAAATTCCTTATTTTGATATTGACATGTTTATTTTGCAAAGTTTAATTATTCTTTATATTCTTATAGTTTAATTATGCATTATTACAGAATTGGCTTATTTCGATTAGGCTTGCGCCTTGCGCTTAGGCTCCAGGAGACCTTGCTTGAGCCTTTAACAACTATGATATCACTTGTTAAACCCTATTGAAATTCTCTTACACATAATGAGGGTGTATTGGTAAATAAATTTAAGAACTCTCGTTCCCTTCCTTCCAACCAAATAAAGAAAGGTGTCACTCCATCCATCTTTTCTACTAACCTTTCCATTCAACCAAACAAAAAGTGAGGGAGACATCTTTCCTTCTCTAGGGATGCCTCATCCACCCCACTTTTCCCTTCCATTCCATTTTTCCATCCTTCCAATCAAACGGAGTATCGGAGAAGTTAGATTACAACTTGTAGAGTGTTTTACAATACCCACTTCCAAATTTGGAGGCCTATGCCTCATCTATCTTCCCCCCGTCCTTGACAAAATGAACTATAGAACATATCTAACAATTCAATTCCATAACTGCCTTTACCTCCCAATCATGAATTGGTACATGGGAAGTAATATCTCATCTCATGTCACCCGACATTCGAAGTGCTGAGGTGATCTGCCTCCATTTCTTGTTCACTTCTATTTGGTACAATACTACAACTTTGGAAAAGCCTCTCTCAAGATAACCTCTACACACCTCTCAATATGCCAAAAGATCATGCTTCCTCGAATTCTCAATTGCAAAATAATGACCATATATCTACATTAGCAACATTATGGTTTCTCTGTCAGTGATTCCTTGTTGGAATTTCTCCAAGATTCATAGGCCGCTAATGGTGGGGGAATGCTGCTCTTAACTGGGCTCTTTTAAATTCATTTTCAGATGTGTTTGGGCCAACTGGTCTCCATAGTCCAGTTTGTCAAGCTGCAGAGGAGAATATGGTGAAGGTTTTTGCATGTTGGTTTACTTGTTTTGTGCTTACTTTGCCCAGCAATAATATATATATATATATATATATATATATATATATATATATATATGTTTACTGAATTGATCCAACACTTCTCAAATCTTTTTCCAAAGACTAATTCCATAAGAACAGTTTTTTATTATTATTTTATATATTTATTTTTTATGAGCAAGAACAGTTCATCCTCCCATGGTCTAATTGCCGCTAATACCCAAGATTTCACAGCCACAACTATTCTCCAAAGGCTGTGTGCCTCTCTAAAGAATTCTCCATGTATCTCAAACAACTAAATTCTTCCGACAAATACATAATTCTTGATAGATGAATATGTTTACCTAATCATCTCACCCTTTACTGATACCTTTCCAGAGAATGACCCCGGGAAAACTGTTCTCTTCTATTATGGTCCAATTACCCCTAGAACCCCCATATTCCACAACTCTCCTCCAAAGGTTTGTCTCTCTCTAAAGCATATCTCCACAGCCATTCCCCAAGCACACTGATTCTTCTTACAGATCTTGATTTCTGAATCTTGACCCACTTCTTTTTTCCGTTTTAAATTCATTTTCTCCCCCGAGGAACTTAAATGCACTTTTGTTGGTTTTTAATATCTTCATTTCAGTTTGTGCAGTGGTAGATAATTGAAAAGTGAAGTTCTCCTACTTCTGAAAATTTTCTGCAGTAATTTAGGAGGCATAACAATGTGTTGCACATTATCCTGCATCATTTGCCTGGCATTTGGAAGTAAAGGCTCATATTCATGATATGCTTTTGTAATTGAGCCATTTCTTGTATATTTGTTCAAATTTGAGCTTGCTCATGGTGCTTTATGGTTAACACATATTCAATAAGCTGAACCTTTATTTCCACGTATGTTACATTTGTGTTAGGTTTGGATCAAGCCCGGTACTTATGGATGTACTTATTAATCTTATTCACATAAAATCTCGTGGGGTATACTGCTTGTGGATGGAGAATACTGGCATCCTAAGTTTAACCCAGTATTACTCAGATTCAGCTCAAATGGCATGTTATGATTGATATGCCTCGAGCTTGGAAGAAAGTATGAGAATCAGCTCTTCTAATTTGAGCTTGGCCCATAATGCTTACACTCAAACACTTGGTTTTCAGCCTTATTGTCAGAGTGTTACTCGTTGGCAATTTTTAAGAACCATTAATCTTCTATAAAAGAGAAGCTTCTAACAATATCAAATAAATGCTGAAAGTATTCAAGTTAATTGTTTGTAATGCTGTTGTAAAAGTATGTTATGTTAAAGTGATCTGCCATAGTTGGAGTAGGCCATGGACCCTTTCAGTTGAGATCGGGTCTGTTTATGAATTGCATGACAACGCGATTGAATTGTCCTGCAAATTGCAAAAATGTTAGAACAGTATGCATACATGAGCCATTTGATCTAAGCACATGGATCATTAAGCTTTGGTCATTTTTTAGAGACCTTAAATTTTAGAGTTTTGCCTGGCTTGCCTAGTTCACGAGGCAATATCACCGTAGCCAGTGTGACTTGGCTTGTTTTGCAGCGCTATGTTGATGACTTAGATTTAAGCTTCGTACACAGGAGGTGGAGGTAAGAGTGTGTTAGAACTAGAGATCCCTCAGAATGAAACAGATTTTTTGACAGGCAAAAGCACAGATTAATGTGAATGTCAGGGACGTATTATATTGCTTGCAATAAATAATTAAGAATAATATCATCTGTTAACTTGGTTTAACTACCCCATTGGGATGGTGAGCTTGAAGAGTAACTTATGGTGGATCGAGGTAAAACAGATTAATTGGATAATGGTTGTTGGAGTGTGCGGTGCATCATTTTTTTTTTTTTTGTTATCGTGAGAAATAATTAAGAGATAACTGTTAGACCTTTGATTCTCTATGCTAAAGAAAGTTACAATGTGCATGGACTTACAATGATTAGTGGAATGGTTCGGGGATAGAGTTAGTGATTTGTTCATTTGTTGGAAGCTAAAAAGATAGCACCGAGTGGGGGGCAAGTTGAGAGATTGGCATGATGATTTTGGACATTGTGGACCTCAGGCTAGAAATCCTTTACATTTTTTTTTTTTGCAGTCGAGGGTGGTTTCTGACATGTAGAACAACCAAAAATTGACTTAATACGTCCTTTGGTAAATAATAAGTAAAATTTCTGATAATGCTGCTTTTCTAACAATTTCTGTAGTTCATGTCCGCAGTTGTCCTAAACAAACACTTGCGACTAATTGGATTCTTCATTGGTATTTACACTTTTTGGATATTGAATGCTATTAGTGAAATTTTTTGTATTCCTGTTAATGCAGAAGACGATTGAATGATGTCTGATTTTAGAACTATAATGAACTATGAAGGATTTCAACCAGAGATGTTCTCTAGTTCTAGAAATATTGAAATTCGGAGAAGTATTAATCTTGGCAGTTAGCAGGCAAAAAATTAGGAGCTTATCTCTGCAGTTGGCTCATGCATTGCGAACAGTACAAAGGTTGCTAGGATGCTCTTACATATGATGATTTGAACAGATGTCATCATGGGGTTTCATAGTACTTTGTACATTATCCAAGCCAACAGTTTCTATTCCAGTTCATCTTAGGACTTTGTTTTTTCTGGATGTTTAGTCATTTCTTTTCTCTAAAATTTATCGATACTATGTCTAATTGAGTTACTGTTTTAGTACAAATATTAATTGATTGCTCAAAATTTGGGGAATTTTTTTTTTTTTTTTTTTTTTTTTTTTTTTAATGTTTTCAGTTTTACGAATGGGTTAAAATATATTCATTAATGATTATTTACTTTATAACTTTAGTGCCTTTATTTATTAAAAAAATGTCATGGTTTTTACTGCTTTCATTTTTTCATTGTTAAAAAACAGGGATCTGCACCCCAGCATCTTGATTTTGCGAGTAACTTGTAATGCTTGTTTAGTTTGAGTAGGCTATACTGTACTTTTATGGGTTCAAGAGGGCAAATACCATTGTCTTACGAAGGACGTTCTGTCCAAGCTCCAGGGATGATGCGTCATGGCCCATTTCCTACTGGTCACCGCCCCATGGAACCACTTCCTCCTCCCGAGCTTTTGGAGAACAAAATGGCTGTACAACTGGAAGAGATAGAAAGACTTGTGGAAGACAACCGCAGATTGGCTGCTACTCATGTGGCCTTGAGGCAGGACCTTGTTGCTGCCCAGCAGGAAATACAAAGACTCAGAGCACACATAAGAAGCATCCAGACGGAAAGTGATATTCAGATCAGGATGTTACTGGATAAGATTGCAAAAATGGAAGTAGATATCAGAGCTGGTGAGAGTGTTAAGAAGGACCTGCAACAGGCACACATGGAAGCACAGAGCTTGGTAACAGCTAGACAGGAGCTGACTGCCAAAATTCAACGTGCCACTGAAGAGCTGGATAAAGCCCATGCTGATATTAAAAAGCTGCCGGAGATGCATGCTGAACTTGATAGTTTGAGGCAAGAACATCAGAGGTTACGGTGAGTGAATTGAACTGTTTATCTTTTTAATTTTTATTGTTGTCTCCCCTTATACCCTTACTCTCAGACACGTGTTTTAGGCGTTGAAACATAATTTCATTGTTTAGAATTTTTTATATTACACTAAAATGAGAAGAAGAAAAGCAATGTATATTTCGATAAGTACTTAGGCACCACCAGGCCCTGCCCCATCCCCCCACAAATACAAAATAAAAATATGTCAATAGAAAAAAGTCGAATAATAAAAAAAAAAGGAATCTTGCACCTGCATGTTGTAGGTCCAATCAGTTGTCCAGTGTGGCTAGGATTATCTTTAACCCATTCTGTTGCATGCCGTGGAACTTGGAATGTAATCTGTCATTCCTCTGAAAATGATGCAAGATCTGTTACTCCCATTATTTCATTACTCTGAAAATGATGCAAGATCTGTTACTCCCATTATTTCACAGGAATGACCACGCGGCATAGATTTCCATGACATGGAACAGTGCCATTCATAATGAGGGGGGTTGAGAAGGTAGCGATTAGAACTTGAAAATAATTTATTTCTGCATACAAGTGTGCAGTCTGAAGTATTATAGCATTCTAATCAAGTGATTGTCCTTTTAGAATCAATCTGCAAGTTTTTGTTCACTAACTATATTACATGGGTCTGAAACTGTTTTTTTTTTTTTGAAAAAAAAAAAAAAAAGCAACACATTTGAGTATGAAAAAGGTTTAAACATGGAGAAGGTGGAACAAATGCAAGCAATGGATAAGAACCTCTTTGGCATGGCAAAAGAAGTGGAGAAGTTGCGAGCTGAGGTGTTGAATGCTGAGAAGAGGGCACATGGTAATTTTTATTTCTTTTTTGTGTAAATGCATTTCGGATGTTTTCTTCACACTTTTACTAACATTCTGCTGTATATGTATAGCTCCGAACCCTTATGGTAGCTCCTACATGATGAGTTCAGATCCATTGTACCCACCTCCTGTGCATGGTGGTGGTGCCTATGTTGATCCTTATGGAAGACCCCATGTTCAGATGGGTGTCGGGGCTGGAGGAGAGGGAATAGTTCCATATGGCAGTGGCAATGTTGCAGCTGCTCCTAGCGGCATTGGCAACGCAACTGGACCTGGACCTAGTGCTGGCGGGACGTCTGTCTGGGGAGGAGCATATGATGCTATGATTGCTCGGAAGTGAATGTGCATAAGCTGGCATTAGACGCTGTCCATAAAACTTTTCTGCCTCATTCAACTTTGATGGTTATTTAATATCCCAAATTTTGGTCATGTTTCATTAAATCTAATAGTTACCCTTCTCCAATTCGACAACTTATCTTCCAAAGTTCCATCCCAGTGGTGAATTTTTCGTAGTTTTATACATGGATAATATTAATGGCTATATAGCATGCTCCAATTTACATTTGTAAAATAGGGCTTGATCATTTTAATGTTCTTTCTGAGGGGAAGAGGGTGTGTGAGTGTTTGTTGCTAAGGTAAAAATAAAATAAAAATAAAAAATACATGGTAAAAACAGAAGGAAAAAAGAACACATGGTTTGCTGTTACCGGTAATCTCCCTCTTAACAATAGTCGCAAAGATTTTCTTACTGGTCGCTAAGTTGAAAAGGATTTTGAAATTTGTAACTTTAAATTGTAACTTTAAAGATGGTTGAGAATATTTTTTTTTCAATTTTATAATCAATTAAGTGAGTTGATTGTGAAGAGGATGATCTCACTGTAATTTAGTAATAATTTCGTGGGAGAAGGGGTGGTGGCCATAATACTGAACTCATGTTGAGCACAAATTTTTGGTGTAATGGATGAGTAGTGCTGCATTCGTGTAATAGGTGAGTAGTGCCATATACTCACTCATTTATACCTAATTAGTTTTTAATTTGGATCCGATATGGGATAAATGACCCCTTCTAACATTCTTTTTCACCTGAACTCGCAACACTCTCGTTGCGGTCAGGCCACTCTGCATACTCAGGATGGTTCACCCGGACGTCTTTCAAATCGGGTGCTTGGCGTGGCACCGGATCAAGGACTGTGTCTGTGGTTCTGATGTCAACTATAATGAGTGGGCGCTTGTCCATTTATTCAAAAACTCAAGTTGTTGGATAATACTACATATCCACTCATTTATATTCAATCACTTGAAAATTTGGGTCCATTACAACCAGTACAATTAGTACAATTTTATTTTAAAATATTTTGGGTTGGTTTTCTACGCATTTTGATATTTGCAATATCACGATGTAACTTTAAAATTATTATTTTTTACTCAAAAATTTGCTACGTAATTTAAAAGAATTACTCCTATTTTGTCTTATTTTTTATTATTTTGAAACGGGTCCCAATTCTGATAATCAAAATAGTAACACCTGTACTGATGAACGACTGTGATCCACTCGAGTTCATAAACGTGGTTCTTTTTTATTGGCGGACGAACGAACCTCAAAGGGTTCCCCCCAATCTGTATTAAACATTTCTCTCCCTCTTCTGAAAGCCAAAAGAATAATCGATTGCTCTCTCTCTCTATAGCTGTTTGGAAGCTCCTGCTTGATCTAATCACCATGGAAGATGAGGTAAACGCCCAATTTGTGCTCTTTATTTCGTTTCATACTTGTTTTTTCATGTATTTTTGTGATCGAAATCTAAACAGACATGAAGCCCTCAATCTTATTATGCATTCATTTCTGATAGATCTATCTTTTTTGTGTGAAATCTACTGGTAGGATCTGACGGAGTTTCGATGCAATTGTTGTTTTACATGGAATGGAACTTTCATTCCCAACATATTTATTGTCGATATATATATTTATATATATATATGCACGCGCACACATATAAAGGTGTTCATATGTACGATCTATGTATGCATGTGTATGTATTTTTCTGAAAAGGAGTTTTCTTCACAATAGTACTAGGGTTTTTTTTTTTTAATGTCAACAGAAGAGTTGTTGTGAAGGTACAATGTATTTATTTTATTTTGTCAAGGTTTAGCTGTGATTTGTGTAACGGGTGGCCTAGTGGATAAGGGGTCTCCTGGGTTTGATTCTCACATGACGCAAAAACACCTGGTTTAAATGATATGTGTGGTTTGCGAGTGATTGTTCGGAATTTGCAAACCATCCGAGAGTCCAAAGTGGCTAGCGGGTGGGTGAAAAGATAACTGTGATGTGTTTGAAGGGGAAGATACAGTTTTTTTGGCATTTCTGAAAATGAAACCCTAACTCTGTGTGTGGTTGGATACTTTCTCATTTTGGATCCATAAAATGCTTTAGTTGTAGTCGTTCTTGTGAAGTTCTTGGCCAACTTTTGATATTTAATTTCCTTTTTTCTAATAATCTTTTTATGTATGTATACCTTAGGTATGCTATTATTCCATTCCTTGACAATTTTAATTAATTCATTTTTATTTTTTATCAACATGTTATATGAATGAATTGTGGCTTTACATCATAGTTATAGCTTTTTCACTGATGTTGCCTTTCAGATTGAACTGAAGACCGCACCAGCTGATTTTCGTTTCCCCACAACAAACCAATCCAGGCACTGTTTCACGCGCTACATTGAGTTTCACAGGTTCCATTTCTCACTACTTTTGCAAGTAATGATTGTATCTTGAGAGTTGTATATGGTTGAATAGGTTACAGGGGTTCTAGTTAATTGTTTGTTTTCTTTATAATCTAGTTTGATACTTTGAGAGTTTTATGTATCTAAACTACTGGCATTCAACCTATTAATTGTCCTTTATTTTTAATTTATACATTTAATTGCAAACTGCAGGTGCTTGGCAGCAAAAGGTGAAGAGTCCAATGAATGCGGAAAATTTGCCAAATACTATCGTTCCCTTTGCCCAGGCGAATGGGTGAGTAATATGCTTGCTAAGTTCCTTATTCATGGCCTGTTTTGTGTTAACAGTCTTTTGTTGTATGTTTGGGTGTATAATTTATGGTTGTCTTTAATTTGTTAGACTATTTATTTTTTAATTTTTTGATAAGTAATTTGTTAGACTATTTATTTTGTACAGATAACATAGATTGCAACTATATAATTTTCTTTTTGTCTATTATATATAAGACAAATGCTCATTCACTTTGTTCTGCTTGGGGCTCAAATCCTCAATGTTTTCTTTGGGAAGTGGATGAGAACCACTCAAGGTCAAGGTTATACGAAATTAATCCATTTCACTGCTTCTTGGTTGCTTAATGAAATATTCTACTAAATTTTTTCTTTTTTTAGAGTTTGGCAAATTTTGTTAGAGTTGGGAGATAGGTAGGGGCCTGCAAGGTTAAATCACAAGGTCGAATCAAGAATTGTCAAACCGCATAGAGCAAATAATATAATGAACATGATTTAATTTTACATCTGGTTTAAATCTTTTTGTTCCACATTTCAGAGTAACTTTTGGTTGGGCTTGAATATTGTAATGCAGGTTGAGAGGTGGAACGAGCAGAGGGAGAACGGGACTTTCCCAGGACCTCTTTAATTCAAGATCATCTCTTTGAAAGACTCTGGCATGGAAACTTCAAATAGAATCCATCTTTTGTTTGAAGGTTAGTGGATTAATAAGGCACCAACAGAGATTCCTCATCCTGAACATGTTTACTCTGTTATTGCATTTGAACAAGTTGTTGGGGAAAAGATTGAAAGTAGCTTGGTTTGTTGTTACTCTTCTAAATTATTCTCAGTTTTTAATTCATTATTTTAGTGCTGCCTACAAAAGCCCTAATCACTTCCTGTTTGGAAGAAGGGACTGCACTATTTGTCATTGAAGACGTGGCTGTCTGTTTGCCGATAATTCAATCTCAACGGTGCAGGCATGCTGGAGCTCTTGAGAGCTCAATGTGTGAATTACAAAGTGAAACTATTCCTAGTTAGACTGTGGATGGGTGTTTAAATGGTAAAGAGACCTGTTGGAAGGTAGAAATGACCCTTTAGGTTGCTTTTGCCCAATACTATGGTTTTATCAAATTGGAAATAGTAAATTAAGCGTCAATGCAGCAGGCGGACATTAAAATACATACCGGAAGTGTTGAAAAAATCAATGAAATTTTTTCATTGAAGTTTCGAGCAATCTAGATTCTAGACTAGGGTAGTTTTACAGATTTTGTTTATTGTTACATAATGAAAACTGTTGGACAACTCAATGATATTTATTCGTTGAAGGTTCATGCAATCCAGAGTAGACTAGTAGTGTTGTAGATTATAATAGTAGCAAAATGATAGCTTGCAAATGTGATTAGGGTAAGGATCGAATTTGGTAGTTACCGAATTCAATTTATGTGAGAGGGGTTATGGGTTCAATCACATGAAGGTATAAGAATGACAATGACTAATGTGTGTGGAGAATTGCAAAAAGATTAATACAAAATGGCAATAAAGATTAATACAAAATGCTATATTTTCTCATCAGTTTTAATATAAATAGTAGGCGAATAGATTTTCTTTAAGGAAATCAGTGACTGCTATGAACTGTTTCCTTGATATTTTCCAAATTGTGTATGAACTGCACAGGATGAACAATGATTGGGATGTGGGCCCAATAGATCCAAAATCTTACACAATAAAAGACTACATAACAACATAAACTAGTTATACATGAACTACGGTGGCGCAAAGTAATCGACAGAGTGGACAAGAATTATTATATGACAGCCATTCTTTGATGCAATCACAGTGGAATTCATGTGAACATGGCGTGGTTGCGACATCCATCCCTTTCGAGAACCCCTGCAGACATATGGGACACTTATCTGCTGCTAATCTATGATTGTCGTCAATCAATCTGTTGATCTTCAATGCAATCTCAATTTCTTTCAAAACGTCAGCTTCATGCGTCGCAACTGGTTTAATACCTACGTAAGACCTTAATCTGCTCAACATATCCGGATGATCATTCCTTAATAAATTTGAAACATAATTATGATCATGCATCAAATCCTCCTCCTCTCCAGTTCCTTGTTCTTCTTCAACATAGTTAACTTCATGTTGTTGAACTTTTGAATCCGACGAATCATCATCCATGTCCTCAGCTTCTTCTTCTTCTTGATCATAGTTATCAACCATTGATAAAGTATTGCAAAATTCTTCTTCACCTCCTCCATCATCAGAAAAATCTTCGTCAACAATTAATATGTTCATAAAAACATCTACAGCGATAACGATTTTGGGCTTGGTGGAGTTTGAGTCGACGGGGGTAAAGTGAAAATTACTATCAAGGTAAGTAAACATAGTTTCCGAGATAGCACGAGAGTCGATTTCTTCCAAGAAATTTAGTTCGGATACTATGAGTGAATCCAACAAAAATTGTAATGTGTGTGGAGAAAGTAAGTAATCGAGATCAAATTCGAAAACATCACCGCCCTTAATTGGGAATATTCCAGTGACGTCTTTCCCAACATCAACACCAGTGAATATACGGAGCATCAACAGTCCTTTGTTTTCCCAACCCTCATTGCCGGTGCCGGAGAAGTACTCCTTCCACTCAAACACGCGAAATTTTGCTCCAGAAAACCTTTCAAGCAGAGCCATCACTCTCTAAAAAACCTCTTGCGCTGATGTGTGTATATATATATATATATATATATATATAGAAATCGTGTGCTACAAGTTAAGTAGCAAACTTCTTGTCCTTGTTGGACTAGGTCGGGGTTTTGCGTGGATATGAAGCAGACGCATAAATTAGAAACTTTTTGGCAAATATAACCGGACTCCCCACACACGTCTATGTATAATTGGGTCGTGTTTTTAGGATATTAAAATTTCAAAACAATTTACTTTATTTTTATTTGGTCAATTGATTTATATCGAATGGGTTTTAACCTATTTATGAAATTATGACCAATTAAATTTGATGCATCACCTTACTTTGCAAGTGTGTGTTGTTCTAGCGGTTGGGTAAAGTGAAAATAATAATAATAATAATAAAATAAAATAAATTTAACGTGAACTTCTATGCATGTAACAAGTAATTTATTTATTTACTTATTCATTTATTATTATTATTATTATTATTATTATTTATTTTGCCAAAAAACTAACACACCCACTGCAACTACAATTATACAGTGTTATGATTTTTGTATAGTTACTTGAACCTTTCACTTTTTATTTTGAAAGAATATCTTCAGCACACCAGGCATGACATATAATTTTTTTTCAAAAATTAACATTACATATCATTGAGATGTCCAATCAGTAAAAATATATTATTCTATAAAATTGGTTTGAAAATTACTCTAAAATAACAGTTGTATTGATTATGCTGGTGGTTTTTTTTTTTTTTTTTTTGAATGAAGACTCAGGGCAGTCACCTGTTTGATGCGGCATAAAGATAATCTAACAAATCCAAAGTTTGCGCTGAATGTTGCAGTATTTGTTTTGTAGATATTATTCAAATTTCCAAAAATATATCTTCTTACTGTTTAAAAAATATTATAACATTTTATTTCAAATTTCATTGATATTTTTCTTGGAATGGGTATACTTCTAAAACTTTCAGTTTTTTCTTCTTGGATTTGAAACAACAGCATAATCAATGCTTTGATTATAACTAATGTTAAATATATAAGCTCGTTTGTTTGTTTGGGTGTAAAATATTTTTTATATTTTTTAGTGTTTGACTGTCATAAAATATTTATAAAGAAAAAATTATATATATAACAAATATAACTTACTTATCAATTTTTTGCAAATTATTTTACATGTCTCGTCCGATGAATTCGACTTCAATCTTGATCTAGATCTTTGCCGAACACAGAATAAGTAAAAATAAAAAATATTTTATCTGAAAAAAGGAAAAAAAAAATATTTTACATAAAAACAATTGCAGCAACAGTAGCTAATGTTCAAATCAATGCAAGAAGAATATCACTAAAATCATAATATCATAAGGCAACCTATGATTGTGGTCAATCAATCTGTTAGTACTTCTTTTTTGAAGGGTGTTTGCAGGATAAGAGTCAAAAGCATTCTCCTGGTTTAATATATAACCTTGATAAGGCATGGAGTATTCTAAAAACCATCTATACAAAAAACTCTATTGAACACGATGAGTTATACATTAAGGTACTTATAACACTTGAATCACAAAATTAAAGAGGTCGAGGCTATGACATCATTAATTGCCAGTACATTGAATAGCACAAATTCATTAAAGTCGTAAGTTATATATAAACCATGGAAGCGCAAAGTGTTCGACACACTGGGCAAGAACTATTTTTTGGCAACCATCGTCCCAAGCAACCCGTATGAAAAACATGTGAACATGGCGTGGTAGAGATCATTTCCCTCGTCAAGAACTCCTTCAAACATATCGAACACGTATCTGCTGCAGCTCTATCATCATCAATCCATCTCGTGACCTTCACTGCAATCTCAATTTCCTTGAGAACGTATGGTTCATGGGTTGCTGCAATTGGTTCAATAAGTAGATTAGACCTTAGCGTGCTTAGAATATCCAAAGAATCACCCTCCTCGTCAACTATAATGTTTGAGACATTATTATCATCGTCCATCAAGTCCTCCTCATCCTCAATTTCTTGTTCTAATTCAACACCACTGTCAACTTCACCTTCTTCTTCAACCTCTAAATCTGTTAAGTCATAGTCCATGTCGAGTACCTCAGCTTCTTCTTGTTGTTGATCATGATTTTCGTCCACTGATAAAGTATTTAATGAACCCATCTCTTGTTCAATGCTTCCATATTCACAACTATTGCATTCTTCTTCTTCTTCATTAGGAAAGTCTTCGTCAAGCAAAGAAGAACTCTCCACAATAGCATCTATAACGATGACGATCTTTGGCTTTCTTGAAGGAGATGACGAGTTTAATATGGAGGTAAACTGAAAATTACCAACTAAATACTCGAATATCATTGTTGACAGAATACGAGCATTGCTTTCTTTCAAGAAAACTTGTTGGGGGAGAGTAGACAAATCCACCAATGATTCCAAGGAGTCTTGAGACTGTAAGCGGTCGAGATTGAATAAAAATACAGGTTCCTTCTCCTTCTTCTTCTTTAGGAATCCAGTTTTGACTTCTTCAAATACACGGACCATCAACACTCCTTCAACCTCGTTACTGCAAATCGTTTCGCTTTCGTTCCACTTGAACACACGAACTTCTGCGTCACGAATCCTTTCAACCGCAGCCATAGTCTCGATCTAACCTACCGTCTTGTACAAGTAATTTAAGTTATAATGATTTAACCTATCGACCTGATTTTAAGATATATATATATATATATATATATATATATATAAAATGTATTCACCGTCTTTCTTACTTACTTTGGTTGCAAGCTTCTTGTCCTTGTTGGACTCAGAATTGACTCATGAGTACTACTACTATTGTTTTGTTTTGGTAAGTAATTGGTGAGTAGTGTTGTGTTAGTGTAGTCACAAAATACTACCCCCTTTGGGAAATAAAAATCTTTTTACTTTCCGGAAAAAATAAAAATAAAAATAAAAATCTTTTACCAAATATAGTTATCATAACGGCCAAAACTCTCCTCCCACTAATCATGTTTGGATCACATCTCCTATATGATGTTAAAAGTGACAAAACAACTAAGCAGCCAATTGGGTTTTGAATTAACCGACCAAGATACTAGTGATGGGCCGTGCCCTAACAACAAAATGGTTGCATGTTTGCTCTTTGGCCCATAAATTCCCACTTAAGTGGGCCTGTACAGTTTCAGTTCTTTATATAAATATTTATATTAAACGAGATAAACTAGCTTTAATAAAAAGTAGGATTAATTACAAC